TCAATACAGATCAGTGTCTCAGAGATTGCGGTGATTAAGGACTCGTCTCCACCCTTCCTCTTGTTTCCCGCTTTTATCCCATCCTTTTGTGGCTTAAAAGACATCTTATTTTGTTGTTTAAATACAAATTGTTTTTTCAGTTTCAGTTTAAACCTCATACCAGTATTTAACGGCTTTTTAACAATAATAACAATTAGGCGTTAAATCATTAAATTTCACGCATTGTGTAATTTGTAAATACTTTTTGTTTCTTGTTTTACATTTTTATATATTCATAACAATTATGTTTCGGACAAATGAGCGAGAAATTGGTTGTTTTCATTTATTATCTTCTCGTTTATTACCACTTTCTTCATAAGGAAATATAAAACTAAACATATTTTTTATTATTATTTTTGAAATCAATTGAACTTAAAACTAATGAAATAATATAATTAATGACATATTAATGCATTTTTATGTAATTTCTTTATTACTAATGTGTATAAATATTTTCAGGTATGAATGCAATCGCGTGTTATGTTTAGCTAATAATCGTGTAATTGTATTGTTTGTGCAATTTTTTATCTGTTGTTTGTAATGCCGTTTCAATTAGTTTAATAAATTCATTGGCAGTCCTATAGACTGTTATTTCTATTATTTCACAATGAAATCCATAGGTTTTCAATTAGCGAACAAAAGTCATGACAATAAAATTTTAGGCGTCTCTCTCATCGATAGGGTAAATGATTTTAAGTAGGAATAGGATTAAATAAATTACACATTTTTTTAAGTATTTAAACCATACAATCTCTATTAGTTGTTATTTTTTGTGGGTCAGTGTTTCGAAAAATACCCTATGGTTTACATAATGCACTGAACAATGTAATTTAATGAGAGTTTTTTGCGAAATATATCATTTTCATTATTTCTCACTAATGCATGGGTTGCCACATACCATATAAACAAGTTAGCTACTTTGTTTATTACCAATTTATGTACTAATCTTATGAAAATCTTATAAACTAAAAATATTGTTTAAATGTTGATTTATTGCAATCACTGATCACTAAATTACTTTTGAGCCGTTAAAAAATTTTGTTAGATGTGTGAAATGACTTTTCTATAGCCAATTATGAGTGACCTTGGTGATAAATATAGAATTTGGTATTAATAGTGCTTTTAACGCACAAAATGATTAATTCTTTTAATTAAATAATTTTAATTGAAAATACATTTTCATAATTTCAATGTTTAATGGTTCGGACGAACAGTTTTAATAAAATAAATGTTTCATGAACATTTTATGAATTATTAATTTAAATGTAATTTAATCCCAATTTAATCACGATTAATTAGAATTTTATCGTAAACAAAAATAAAACTAAATACATGGAAAATTATTTTCTTATTAGATGTGTATTTCCTGATGATTGAAAACATAGGTTTACGTAATGTTTTTACCCCCACACGACTTTCAGTTTACAGCCAAACTGTAAAACACCCGATACTACTCATAGGCAATACAATAGCCAAGTCTTACAGTTTAACCCGTTTGGGTATTTAGTTTTAATACATCTCATTTACAAATTACACCAACACATCTCCAATACATCAATGCTTTATTTTAAAATGATAAATATATAGCTTATTTATACGAATTATATTTAATTGATTTTTGTAAAAATAATTATAAGAAAATAAACATAAATAAGATTTATTCTGTATATTATTACCTGACGTATGAAATGTACGAATAGATTATTATTATTAATATAATTATAGTTTACATTATTTTAAATGAGTTTATCTCAATTATTTTAACGCATCACTTATTATCTTTAATATTTAATAATCAGATATTTAAATTTATTATTTTATTTATTTTTATATTTTTTAAATCATTTCAATTGATGTTAGAATAAGATCTACATGAATCTCTCTCTCTCTCTCTCTCTCTCTCTCTCTCTCTCTCTCTCTCTCTCTCT